GTGGGTGGATCAAATAAAAGACATATATAACTGAGGGTGCAATTAAAAGAACATCAGAATTAAAAAAACTTACTTATTTAATGTTAAATTTACCAACTCACAGCTATGCCAACAGTATCTTGAGAGCAGCATAGAAGCTGTGGGACACCACAAATTGTAATTGGTGTTAATTAATGTAATATGGAAAGAAAAAATGTGGAGTTCAAAAGCATTTGATGACAATGGGTTGCTTGTGGTAGGCTTTTAAAACAATCTGACTATCAAACACTTCAAAGGTTAAAACACTACACATTTTAAAAGAACTACCTTAAGTCATTGCGATCAAATTCTCTGGCTTGTGGAACAGAGGATGGAATGTGAACTGGTTTTACAGAATGCATCTCCCTGGTTCCTAATGGAGATTCATCCCTCTCTACAATATCTTCAGGATGGATTAAAATATCACCTTCTTTCTTGGCTCGGACTATTTCCTCTGGCTGAACCACTGTAGGAAAGATAAGAACAGCAAAATTTACATAAACTACAACTTATTTGATTACATACCAACTTTACTGCATCTCTCAAAAAATTGTCATTATACATATATTCCAACTATATTTTTACTTCAAGGAAACTTCAATGTGGTTTAGAAAAATACAAATAAATTTCGTAAAACTTTACTCTTTTGTTAAGTTAACTGTGGAGTAGTCATATCATATGTTGACTTATCTAAGATAAAATTTTCACATGTTCGGTTAGAATGAGAGATCATTTTTTGTTAACTATTTTACTGCAATATTTGTTGCTTATCCCACCACCCAAGTTTCTAATTTCCCTTTTTAAAACTTATTCATCTGATATCCCAATACGTAAATTTGCTTTCCATGAAAATCAATGTATTTACACATAAAATATTCAAAAAACTGTTAACACAGGGTGTCCCACTCAGATGTATCCATTCTATTTCCTTGATTATTATAAGAACATAAAGCTTTCCAATTGAAACTGATATAGAACAGTTAGTGTAGTTTTTGAAGCTTTGTTTAGTACAATTTGTAATACAATTGACTAGCCAACACATTTGAGACTCACCAAAAGTGAATGTGTGGTGTCTCCTGACATCATCTTACATCATTGGACCATTTTTCTTTGATGTCAGTCCAAAAATTTACCTAAAAATGTCAAAAACATTTTTTTTGGTGCCTCAACTACACAGAAAACTTATGCTACATTCAATTCATCTGCAGCAAGATGGTGCTCCTTCAGATTTCTCATGAAGCATTCATAGTTTCTTCAATGCAGTGGTCCCCTACAAATGGATTGGTCGATATGGACCCACTGCTTGGCCCCTAAGATCCCCCCAACTTCACTCCCTGTGACTTTCTTTTTTTGTGGAGTTTCATCAAGAACAGTGTTTAAGCTACACGTCCACAGTCCTTGGATGAGCTGCGATATCGTTTCACTGATGTTATTGAAGGTATATCCCATGTAGTCTGTGAAAAAGTTATGGATAATTTTGTTGAACATCTCCATAGCATGTTGAATGAAAAGGTGAACATGCTGAGTACTAATTAAAACTACACTAACTGTCCCATACCAATTTCAACTAGAAAGTTGTACATTCTTATAATATACAGGAAAAATAAAATGGATACCTATGGGTGAAACATCTTGTATTATTAATGTTAGATAAGCATGTACGTGTATTATTTGACTGATATTGCAACACTTCACAATGATTTGTCTATTTTTTGTTTATTTATGTATGTATTTGCCAATGACTGTAAACTGACCTAAAAGTATTGCAAGTTATAAATTTCTTTTTTTTTATGTATATATTTTTTAACAAAGTAATTAATATGTAAAAATTAAAAAACTTATTAGATTATTTAAGGTAACTTAAATGAAAAAATAAATTTTTTCACATAAAGTAATGCACGAGGAACACGACTAGCTAGAGAAGACATTATGTGATGTAACACTAAACTGTTTATCCTGAGTTCTCCACACACCCACTGGGTGATTTACGGTTTTATTTGATAGTTATGATTTGTTTGTGTGTATGTGTATTTTTACATTGTTCTCTATTCCTAGCTGCCTGCATTAACTTTCCTATTTAATGTTTCTCAATTTAACATTTTTCTAATGTCTTTGAGCCATGCAAGTTTCTGCCTGCCTCTTGCTCTTCTTCTTTAAGAAGAATCTCTGCCAACCTCCCTTGACTAATTATATATACCCAAAGTAACATTTGTTTCTTACATACGTCCAGCAGTTTCCTTTTTTGCCTCTGCATGTTCCAGTACTTCCTCATTAATGTCTACATAATTCATCTTCACACTTGGATACATAGGGTTAATTCCTCTTTCACTAGTAGACCTACTCATCTGTGATGTTTATCTACTCCTGCATAAATAAATGTACAACCTTCACTCATGAAAGCCCGTGAGCCAATCTATTAATCCCACTTAGCCCTACGATATCACACTTCATTTCCTGGTAGTATGTTGTTTAAACTTCCAGTTCTATATAGACCTCACATTCCTACCTTCATTTTGACATAAACATTTCCACTGGCCCTTTTATGGATTATTTTATAAACTTAACTTTCACAATTAATTCTGAATATTTTCATGAAATACAAGATGCAAAATTACACAATTAAGAAACATGCTTACATGTAACTAAGATATTTTTGAGTCTACTAAAGGTTTTAAATATGAAAATCAAAGTGTAGAAAATTTTTCCTAAATAAGAGAAAACAACACAGATTATAAACTTTCGTAACATAGCATTAAAGGTCAGCAAAATACACACACCTCAAAGCCATCCCTTATCATGGCAGGAAGTGGGATCCTTGGGCAGTCTGTTGTAAAATATGCTATCAAGGCAAACTCACTCGTATGAGGCTCTTAGTTTTGATTATGAGATCAATACTCATTTTTTGTACAAATTACATACATTTTAAAACATTATTTGTATTAACTTAACATTTTGAAAAAATAATTTTTTGAATGCATTTATACAATCATAAAATATACTATACATATGTAAATATAACATATCAGTTGTAGAAAACTTTAGTATTTTCTGTTTGAGCACGAGTTAAAATAGCTGTTATCTGAACAAATGTTTACCAATGACAACATAATAAGATTTCTTCAACCACCCTGACACTACAATAGTGTGCAAAATTAACTTAAATTGTTGGTCCACTGGACCAGTAACTTTGAAATCTTTCTGCTCTGTTGATAAGTCATGCCATGCTATAGTTTAAGCAGAACCACTACCAAGAGTAGTAAACTAACATGAACAGTCAGAAGTTTTTAACATGCATCAGACTACATAGAGTAATTCATGAATTTCAGGACCTTACAAATATTATTTGTTATAATTTTCCCAGCATTCACATTCGACTTCACTGACAGAGGATACTGCACAAGCTACCCCCAAAAAAGGTTCAGTCATCATTTCCTTATCCATACTTGTGTGAAATTAAACTTTGGAAACAAAGTTCTCACAATTTAAAACAAATAAGAAATAATTCAGCAAAAATTATGCCTTAAAAGAACTTGAAAATTTTGGGTAGGTTATCCTTAAATAATTAATATTTAAATGTCTGGAACAAAAAATAATTGATAATTATTATAATTTTTTATTATAAAAAAAATAATAATTTTCAGACCTACAACAAACAATTTTGCCTTGTAACTGACTGGGATGACAATAATAACATTTGTAACTTCAGGAAAGAAAGGCATTTTTAGATATGGTAATTGCAACTTTATAAAGTGCCAGAGAATAATTCTAATTCACAATGTATACAAACTTTTACTTGTATACCAAAATTGTCAAAGAAAGGATTCCTTAAATTTTATCATATAATTTAAGATTTTATGGTATTAACTCTACTGCATATAACATTTTGCATTAATTGATTATTATGAAGAGATTGATTTGTCAGTGTCCAATTGTCATGCTTCACTTGCTATACAGATATGTATATGCACTTTATAAAGGGAGCCATCTGGTTACATGAGGCTCATGACAACGGTTTTCATGAGCCTCGTGGTTGTGTTAACCACTTACTGTTCCAAAGCATTTAAATGTTTTGGAACAGTAAGTGGATAACACAACCACGAGGCTCATGAAAACAAATGCTTTGGAACAGTAAGTGGTTAACACAACGCATCTGATCTATCAGACTTACTATCTTAAGGAAAATTTGTGGTGTATCACCATTTTCACTGACTAACAAAGAAATCGACAAAAAAATATGATGCTTTGTAGCATAAGATAAAGGTAAAATAAACAAAAATATGGTACATATACACGTGTCTTATCACATCTCTGTACTTTGTCACTGTTTTACCCTATCTTTTCTAGTTTCTCACAAACATTAATTAGATATGTTAACATGAACGTGCATTGTACCTGTAAGTTCATACCCAAATAAATTAAAAAACAGAAAACCCATTAAAACAGCACATCTCTTCTATATTTAAATTATATACAAGATAACTTATAACAATAGTAACTGTTTTAATCAGCAAATATTTCTAGTATGTCCACACATATATACTTAGCATAAGCCAGAAAACTTAAGCCAGCAAGAAGTTTACGTATGATATAACATTTTTGTGCCAGTTTACTATTTTAGTTATTACTTTAAAATATTTATGAGTTCTCTATTTGTATTAAAACTATTTTACACAAAATTCTAAATATAAGCTTAAGATATAAAGCAACATTAACACATTTTCCACTGCAGCAATTTTAACCCATGCACTAAACCAATAACACACAGCAAATTGTATTGTTTACTTGCATTAAAGAAGCATTAGAAACAGGTGGTTCAATTTCAAGAACTGGTCAGCAAACAGACTCATATCAGTGGCCATCGTATTCACAACATCCTCTGTCACATACAGTTTAAAAATTTCAACTGCAACAGCCTCTAATGGCAAACCTGCAACCACTTGATGCTGTACAGTAAAAGAAATGTCAGTTGGACAAGCATATGTAGCCTATACAATCTGACATTCATTAACTGACACTGATATTCCAGTGTCACTGTCTGGATTGGCAGCGTCAGCTACAGACAAATTAGGTTTAATATTTATCTGGTCTGTACAGTCCTGGCCTCTTTCATCATCAGACTCAGAATCACTAAGCTCATAATTACTATCCCTATCCATGTCGTCCTCCTCAAGTGACTCAGGATGAGATTCTTGTAAATACTCAGTTTCACTCAGACTAAAAATTTGAGCAACCCTGCCACCTTGTAGCTATAATGGTAAACCAAAACAAACCACTGTAGAAATCTGATGTCACATGATGTGATTTTTTTCTTTTATTCACAAGAGGGCAGCACACATATAATCATTGTACAGCACTAAGGGACTGTTTATCTGTAGGCTCACACATAGTTATAGTCCCTTAGCTGATTGACATGTTAATACGTCAATAGTGCCTGACTAATACAAAAGATTGATGCATTAATATGTCATTAGCAGCAAATGTGTTAACTGTTTTAATTTCAATATGAAGAGGTATTTATAAGTACATCTTAAACAATAAAAACACATACATATATATATGCAACTCGAAACAAGCTTATTAAATATTTTGTCATGGTACTCAAGGCATGAATCATGTAATGAGCAGCTAGACATTTGAGTATAATTTTGTTCTTAGACAATACTTATTTGTATTCGTTTGAAACTTATATCCTTCAAGGAAAAATGCATCCTAAAACTTTTGACAACAAATGCAATTACAGATTTACTACAGGTAAGATGTGTCTTGAATACTCCTTCTAAATAAGCAAACTTTGCTGAAAGAAACATTTATTAGTCTTAATTTTGTTCTGGGTCTTGCATTTCCACACAAAAAGAAAAACAATACAAATAAAGCCAACACATATGTTACACAACACTAACAAGCTTCTTCAGATAAATACAGGTAATAAAGTTAAAATTATATTATTCAGAAGTTAGTAATAAAACTGAAAACTTATTGTAACAACCAGATAGTTATAATGAAATCACAATGGAGTCAGCTACAAATTCATTAGCTAAAATTTACTGCAGACTAAACACACTTTTCTGCATAGATTAAGGCTACACATATTTTAAATTATTTTTTACTTGTGTTCAACTTTCTTTACCATTTTATGCTGAAACTTACTTAAGTTATCAAGCTTCTGAAGATGTGGCAATGCACGTAAGACTGTCATGCGGTAATTTTCTTTCTCTGCACATGGATTGTCAGCTAACCAAAGACTTCGAAGTTTTGGTACTTTTTGTAGGTAACAAATTTCATTGATATTAGAAATGTTGTTCTTCCTTATATAAAGTTCTTGAAGGTTCGGGCAGTGAGCAAAGTCAGCCAAACTTGATAGATGATTCACACTAAAAACAGTACAAAGTCTATGTATTCCATACACATCTACATGTTCCAAAATAAAAATAAATCTCTGAATATCTCTCTCTCTCAGTAGCACGAGATGTAAAAATAATATGCATAATAACTTGATTTTTCACCAAACATAACAGATGTCTGAATACCTTTCATTATCACAAACTCAGAAAAATTTGGTCTGCAAAGGACCTGAATGTGGCACAATCAGAACAAGTAAGGTACGAGTAATACAAGTATATTTATTCTAACTGGGTTGCTACAAATTCAGATTATTAAGAGATGGGCTGAGGTCTAACTTTCATTAGTTTTAGAGATTTTCAAATTCAAAATCATCTTATAAATGTATGTGAATTACTTAAGTAACAATACAACAAGGTTTGATGAAATTCAGAAAAATTTGGTCAAATGATTAGAATAACTAACATTTTAGTATTGTTATATATCCTGCTTTCAATGGAAAGTTTTCAAATTGTTATATAACTTCCAGAGTTGAGAAATAGTAATTTGACAATTCATCAAAGATACACAAGTAATTAAACTTTATTAACTCTCAAGTTTCACAATTAAAAATGCCTGATTTCACAGTGTCAGTAACTAAAAAATACTTTCATTAAAAAATTAATAACAATTATGTTCATCTTACCTTAGTGACAAAACTTCAACATTAGGCATATGCTTAATAATGCTGACATCACACAATTCACTGCCCCTGTAGAGTAAAGAAGTTTTTAACATAAAAAATGAGATATTTAAAATATATACACACACATATAGAGATTAGTTTGTTTTGAAATTACACAAAGAGTACAATCACTGCATAGCAATATTTTTATAAAAAATATATAGTATGGAGGAATTAAATACTTAGCTACAAACTGCTAAGATATGACAAAAATATGAAGAACATTTAAAAAGGACAAAATGTTGGCAATATTCATCGAAAATCATCAGATTACAATAACAATAAAAAAGGAATTTATTTTAAATATGTCATATACTGTAACAATGATCTAATTCATGAGGCTATTATTTTAATTTTTTTAAGTAAGGATGAAAACTAATACAAACAATCCATCATTTGTATTTTTTTAATCAACTTCATCAATGAATATTTGTACAAGGACCTGTAAAATGTAAAAATATAAATGCACTAAAACCACTCATGTAAGTATGGAAATCACTTTTTATACATACTGTTCTTGGTCAAAATTATCATGTAACTAGCGTAAGTACTTGGCTTTGCTCGGGTTACTAGATTGATATGTTCTAGATGACTATGTTATTGTGTGTATTCTGAACCCATTTTAGCATAAAAGTATAACCTATATACTTTTCTTGCTAAGCAACATGACATAAAACCCATTGTTGGAATATATTGTTACCAAAATGCATTGACTTTTCTATACATTAGAAGCTGTTACATAAAGAACCACTTCTTTTCTATGTGGCTTTTCACTGACTTGCCTCATTAAAAAGATGCACATGCACATGAATAAGTAATGATACCCAGGTGCACACCCTCAGGGCCCACTTAGTATGCGTGAAAATTTCAGGTTTCTAGGTCCTTTCCTCTTGGAGTTATGGCAGTTATACACACAAACACACGTCTTTTTATTATTATAGATTGATAATAAAACTTATTTCTGACTAAAGTTTGCAACACTACATTTAAAATTATCTTACAAATAAATGATATTACAAATAAATATGTTAACTGAAACCGTCTATTTGAGTAAAACTATTAAGCATATCCTTTTCTACACCTTTTTTTTCTTTTCCATCCATACAATACAATATATTGGCCAAGCTAAACTCGTGGTTAGTAACTAATTTTCATATTTATGTAAATTAGTCACAAACATTCCATGCATCTCATTTCCACATTTACTTCTATTAACAATAAATTAGTTTGCAAAGGTTTCACAATGAATGCAGAATAAACACAGATTAAAACTGATTAACCATCTAGGCTTACTTATTTGAGAAACAACTTAACTAAAATCATATAAACTGAATGCAGGTAATGATGCTCTCTCCTCATATGATTAATAGTCATTCAAGCATGATGAAACTTTTGGAAGGGACACTTTATTATGTACAGAGTATTTCAACTACATACTATAAACAATTTGTTTTATAATGGTGACTAAGGCTGTAATGATAGTGTCACTTTATGTGTCAAAAATTATGGTACATTATACACTGCTTGTTTCTTACAACATCTATTCATTATTGGTGTAATTAGTTTTGAAGTTTATTATTGTATATACACACACACACACACCTATAACACTGTAGTTGTACACAATATAACATGAGATAGTTTGTGTTTACTTAATGAGTTGTTACAAGCTAATCCATGTTCATATCAGTGGAAGAAGTACAGCGAAGCTAGTTTATCAAACCACACATGTATGAATGGGAATAAAAATAAATTACTTGACTACAAACAAACATATCTGTTACTTATATGATATGCTTAGTGAAAAGTAAATTATAATCATTGACACCATACAATGATAGCTTGTGACCTTTATATAATAATAAAATGGAGGTGATGTCTTCATTTTCATAACATAAAATGGAAATCTATAACTTACATTTATTTCATTTTAAGCAGCGTAACATCAACCTTTTTAGAGAAATGTTGTGTATTTATATACATATTTCTAACACCAATTTAAATATATTGTTTTCATCTTTCACTATTCTAGAAGCCAGAATACACTTGTGTGTGTGTGTGTGTGTGTGTGTGGTCAGCTGTCACATTCTGTCTGTTAAATATAACATGACAACAGTTTTTGGTGTCAAATATTACTTTGAAATTTAGACACAACTATTTTTAAGCACTATTAAACTTTACAAGTCCAAACAAATTGTTGGATGTTTTTTTTGTTGCTTTTTAAAAAGAAAAAAAAAGGACAGTTAACTATGAGCTAAATTCTTTATTCAATATTTTATTCAGTCAATGGTGATATACCATAAAATTCAAGTTCACAATGGTTATCCGAGTTGTTAACATGCTTGACATCAGTGATTCCTTCTAAAAAATAATTTCAGGTGTGTTATGAATCATACCATATAATTTCCTTTTTCCTTCTCACATAAATTACCAGTCCTGCTTTGTTGCTTGGAAATCACTAACCACATCGATTATACCTGTAATTGTCATGATTGGCTGATTACAAAGTTTGGTCAAGGGTTAGTAACCTAATGTACATGTGCACAAAATAATTAATACATGTCAACATTCAAGGTTGGATGAACACAAAATTGCATTTGAAGCTACTAGTACAGTGAACTAAAGTTCTAAATCCTGTGCATACAGTGACAGTGGGTGTAAAAACCAGTTCACATCATGACTTCAAAAACTGCCAAACCATATTGGGCAGCGACTGCTTTTGAAATTTTCTACCTACTCTTCATTACTCATGCATTAAAGATGTGTACGTATAACTCCTGTAATTTTCTAGGTACTTTATCCATAAAATAAACAATACATTGCTATAAACAATCATTTCAATTTACAATGAGGTGTATATAATCATTAATAAATCTATATATGTCGTACAGCAGTTTTTGTACACTTAAGTTACATTTCTACACCTTTTATAAAATTTGTATTGATACAAGTATGAGTAAATGTGTACTTTGTGAATATATTACATTTAGAACTATATGTTTTGTGTTCATAGTTGGATAGCCTTCTGGAACTTAGCTAAAAAGGTAAATGGTAATTTCCCCAAAATGATTTTTATGTAGAAATCAATGTGTTCAAAGGAAAACAACGTTTGATAATAAACAAGATTACGACACTTATGATATACAACATTTTTTATTAACAAAAAGGGGACATACATAAATGTTTCAGAATTCTGT